AATGACTCAATTCGGTTTTCGTAAAAAATGCTCAACGATGAAAGCCTTAATTGCAGTTATTGACAACATAGTTGAGGGCCTTGATGATGGTCATCCTACACACGCAGCAATGTGCGACCTCACAAAGGCCTTTGATTGTGTTAACGTCGAAACGCTACTATTAAAATTGGAACACTATGGCATAAGGGGAAGTATCCTGGAACTTATTAAATCCTATTTATCAGGGAGGATACAGCTTGTAAGCCTTAACGATATGGACTCACAGTTGCTTCCTATTAAAAACGGGGTCCCGCAAGGCTCCGTACTTGGGCCAGTTTTATTTCTCGTCTATGTCAACGACCTCCCATCATCGTTGGGTAATACAGAATGTGTTCTCTTCGCAGATGATACTACCCTTTTGTCAAGAGATGGTGAACATCTTAGAGGAGAAATGCTCAAAACAGAGAAAACTTGGTTTAGTTGTAACAACCTAAAACTAAATGAGTCAAAAACACAGAACATAGTATTCAGTTCAGATAAATGGTCATTAAAATCAGAACCAGCAAAATTACTTGGTATAACTTTAGATACAAGTTTAAACTGGTCTAATCATATTGACGGCTTATGTGGAAGACTCTCCTCTCAGATATTTGTCATGCGTCAGCTAAGGACCTCTCTTAACAATAAAACAATTACAACCGTTTATTATGCAATGGTCCATAGTGTTATGTCATACGGCATCCTACTGTGGGGAAATGCACCCAACTCGTACAAGGTCTTTAATTTACAGAAGGCTGCTGTCAGGACCAGTAATATGGTACCATATGATGCGCATTGTAGACCACTGTTCCATAAGTACAGGATTCTGCCCTTACCTTGTGTTTATATCTTAGAATCACTGGTCTTTATTCACAAAAATATTCAAAATTTAAAAAAGCACTCAGACATTCATTCATATAACACAAGGAATGGACAGAACCTAATTGTACCGTTCTCAAGGATAAGATCAACCCAGGTCAATAAGATAGACCTTAATCTATACAATAAATTTATTAGTATACATAATGACAACACTATAAAATCAATGAGCATTAACTCATTTAAAAATTTTTTGCTCAAGAGTAAGGTACGTTTATTTTTGACAAAATCGAAAATTTTCATTAAGAAAAGTTGATTAGAATTGAATCTTACATTCAAATATGCAATTACACCGATCTATCTGAAAAAACAGATTTTCTTATTTCTACACATTGATTGTAAATATCTGAAAACGTTATAAATTACGTTATCTACTATAAACATGATACGCTTTCCTTCTGTTGATGTTTGTGAAGAATTTAGCAAATTTGTTAATGAAAATTTTCGATTTTGTAAAAAAATAAACGTACTTACTCTTGAGCAAAATTCATATTTTTTGACAAACCTCGTATACGGCTTGAAAAATTTGATATCTGATGACTGTATTTTAAGTTTTGGGTCATGCAGGACTTTTTATCAAGAATAACTTTTTTTTCTTAAAATCAATAATAAAAATGTTTTTCATATGGTTCCAACTTAAGTAGACACACTGTATAATCTGAATGATGCAATTTTTTAAAATTTCAAAACTTTAAGCAAATTTTTTTCTGCAAAGAGTGGGCTACTCAGGTTGACTTGTGGCTTTTTTTTTACCTATGATATATACACTTAATTCCTGAGGAACATAAGCTGCTAAGTCTAAGCAGTTAAGACGCTAGAGTCGATTGAAATTCACGAAAAATAGATCAAAAACCGCTCATTTTCAGCACGCTGCCGTTAATCAGAGGTATTGACTAAGCAAATTATCGATGCTTACACTTAAACTACTATCTTTCCCCCTCAGAGTTCCGCTTTAATAATGTACTTATCTACAAAAAGAAAAATTTCAGAAAAAAGTCGATAAGGCTTAAAATATCGATTTTTTTAAAGTCTTTATTTAAATAGGTGGAAAGAAGTGCTTACAAAAATTAAACTCGTGTAAATTTTCTTCTTTGGGACCCTAAGGAATAGTTCCTCAAAGTTACACCAAAATCTAAAATGGATCGGCAACAATTTTTTTTATTTTCAGACGATTTTGTATGGAATGACTCTAAAGCTTTAGATCCTCCATATAAAATAAATGTGTCACCTTGTGTGCTCTATTGCCATATGGCCCACAAGCGTATCCTCGAGTCTTACGAAGACTTACTGAAATGGGAAGCAGCTAGATACAGAATAACCAAGGACTGAGAGAGTCGCCTTGAATGTTATTGCCTCTGTTAATATCTTTTTATCCCCAGTTGATATAGAGAACCCTATTTTTCTGAGGGGCATTAGTTTTTCAGTGCACTTTTTTACTTGAGAGGACACTGTAATAGTTCTTAAAAGATGTAAAAGAAGCTCATGTGAGCTTCAATCGAAAGCATTCTTGTAATCAATCCAAGCTATTGACAGGTTTCGCTTGTAAAGAGTTAACAATTTTGGTTGATGGTTACATGAGAATTTTTTCACCAGAAGTTGTTGAATCCTTTCAAGCCAAGTACTTTTTTGTTCCCTCAAATAATTTTTTGCCTCTTTCTAGGTGACCGGTGGGGCTCGCATTAGGATTACCTTGAACACTGGAGCAGTAACTTTTGAATTCAGATGAAAAAGAAGTGTCTTGGTTAAATGGTTTTGTTACCGAAACTCACCACATCTTGAGTTGCTGGCCGGGGACGTTCCAGCAAACTGGATCACTTGTTCAAGAAATTTTAATTATCACTGATTACTCTAGCCTTTTTCTTCAAGCTGTTCTTTACTACTCCTAGGGTGATTAGCGTGGGCTTGTTTAATGTGTAATGCTCTCAACGTAGTTTTGCATATATATTTCTGATATTCATAGGAAATTGTTTTCTTGTCGAAATATACTCTATCTCTATAATTTTTGTTATTTATATGACTTCTCTAAAATTGCGTAATTAAAAAATTTGAAAAATAGTGTAAAATTTTAATATTTTAATATTTTCGTATATTACATAAAAAATGTTTCGAGTAAGATATGTGTGGAAAATGTATATATTTAGTTCCTCCTCTTTAGAGGGGTCATACAATAGGTTGTACAGAATAACCGAAAAAATCCTGTAATAACTAAACAGGAAAGTCATGTGTTGGTCACATCCGATTTTTTAGCATATCCCAGTTGTAAATGTACCATGGGTAGGTTTTTAACATAATACTTCTTAGTGAGTTTCATACTAAAAGTTTGCATCAAATTCCTCAATTTTTGCGTCCTGTCTTTTGCTTTTACATCCTTTGATTTTTTCTTTTAAACGAATTATTTTATCTATGAGATTCAATTATTAACAAACTGTTCTTTTCAGAACAAATTTATTAAATATTTAATAGTTGTGTTCGTTTGTTATATATCTATTCATTTAAAAATGCTAAAATAATTAAACAGTCGCTATAAAGTGCTAGTGGCATCTTTAGCAGTTTATTTTGAGAAAGAACGTGATAGTAATGATCCTCTGTTGCCTCCAGCAGCTGTTAGAGAAGTAAGTGGAATAATAATGTGTTTCAATATCAAATTAATATATTTTTTCTTTTAGCTTGTAGCAGCAGCACGTAATCTCGATCTATTTACTGTTACTTATATATTACAAGCACTAAAGAACAATGAAGTTCTAAAGTCACTACCAAAGAAGCGCGCTAAGACAAAGAAAGTCACCAATACAAGAATAATAGATACCAGTGCTATTCGAGATATTATTTATAGCATGTACAATATGGACCGAAAAAATGAAAGTTAAAATTTTGATTTATTACATAATTTAAAAACTGCGTTTCATTATAAAAACTGCTTGTAATTTTTTTCACAATTTGAATATTATAATTTCTGCCTTCCACGAGCTCCCAAAATAGCTAAAAATAAAATTAAAATTAAATGTAAAATTTTAATTAGCTATACCCATTAAAAGCTGTGTTTAAGCATATACACTGGTTGTTATTTTTTTTTTTTAAATTTTAGATACCTATACGTTTTAAGCCCTCTTACACCCCCTTAGAAAATTTATAAAGACAGAAATTTACTTTCGTCATGACAAAATTGAAATCCCAATTTTTAGTAGAATTGTAAACCAACTATAAAAGCGCCCTTTAATATACAATTTTTTAACATCCCACTTCCACTCTTACATAAAAATAGTACCTACTTTTTAAATATTATATCTTGTCAATGTAAAATCACCTAAAACTGTAATCTATTTAAATAAGTAAAAACAAAATAACACCTGTTTATTATTAGAATTCGTAATTTGCAGTTGTTGTCGATGCAAGATTAAACACGTTTTCGGAGTTAGTTATAAATACACTTTGTCTTAGATTTAGGCAATATTATGTGAATAATCAGCGTACAGCAAACATATATTTATTCATACGCTATAAACTAATATATCAAAAATATAGTGGAAAAGAACCATGTTTTTTAGAAGTTTGCAATGAACTTGTGCGTAAAATTGAAATCATTTGGAAAGAAGCAACAATTCCAACTATTTCTAAAGACAGAATTTGTGCAATTAATACGGAAGTATTATGAAAAATATAACAATTTAATAAGATATCTCAAAAGCAAGCGAAACAATAGCTATGACAAAAAGATAAATATATTTTAAATAGAGCGTCTAAAAAATTACTTGACATAGCTGCATGTAAATGCGATTTTTCTGCATGCATGTGTGAAAAGACCCGAAAAGTACCTTCTAAGGAACAAGATTTTCTTTCTGAACAAAGATCGGTCAGAAAAATGAGCATTAGAAATGTAGATCATGAAGAAACAAAGAAAATATTATCAAATAAACAAAGGCAATTCAGAGAAATCGAAAGACAAAAAAATATGAATCAGAATCTTGCAATTTATTAAGACCCAGCTGTTCTTCTGAAACTACTACATTATTATTAGGGTCAAAATCTGACCCCTCAAAATATCAATCATTTCAAATTACGACTTACCCTCTACCTTAAATAACACTTAAATGAGATAAATATAGTATATCTGATGGATCAGCTGCTTCAATTGCTAGTGCAGTATTAAAAGATGTAGGAATAATTACCACAGAAGATCCGTTGACAAGAGCTGATAAAAAAGTGAGTAGAGAGCAAAAGAAATCTAGAAATACCGCAATGAAGGAGTTTGAAAGTGATAGCAGAATAATAAGAAGTCTGTACTTTAATGTAAGAAAGGATAAAACTTTACTGCAGAAAAATAAAAACGGTAGATTATACAAGAAAACTGTTGTCGAAGAACACATATCGCTTATCGAGCAACCTGAATATATCTATATTGGCCACGTAACTCCAACTACAGGGACGGAAAAGTCATTTGGAAAAGCACAATTGAATTTTTTTGATAAAAACAATTTGGAACTAGATAATTTAGCTGCTGTGGGTTGTAATTGTACTGTTGTTAACACCGGTAGTAAAAAAGGTGTTATTAAGTATATTGAGCAGTCCTTTATAATGGTATATTTGCCAACTACACGCCAGCCAATTGCCATTAAGACATTCATTCCATGATTTAGATGGCAGCATAGTGGGACTTCGTCAATATTCTGGTGAAATCAGGATGTCTTTCGACCAATGTGAACGTCTTGTTAATTTTACCCCAATAAAATGTGAGTTGCCAAATATGACTGTAATGTCCAGAGATTTAAGTACTGATCAATAATATTTATATATTTGCTATGCAATATCAAGCAGTAATTTTTTCATTGAATTTAGCATACCGTAATCCTAGGAAATTAGCGCACTCTAGATGGCTCACAATGGCAAATCGAGTTCTTCTATAGGCATTTTCGGAAACTTACTCAGATCAGAAATATTATGGACCATATTGTTCGTTTACCTATGGTTACTAACCTTATCTGTGTTCGGAAACTAGTAGATTACTGATCCATCTTTGTGATCGAGATCAATATTTTGTGACCCACTCTACGAGTAGATTAGTAATAGATCCACGAGCGCATCGCAGGATTTTATAAAGGGATAACGCAAGTTTTTGGTGTTTGGTGTCTGCCAGTAGTAGATTTGAAGTTTTTTTTACATTAGATTGTTATCTTAATGCCCATCTTGCAACTTTATTATTCAGATTACAAATATGTTTAATTAAAATGGTTCTTTAAAAAATAGGGGGGGAAGTCAAAGCTTGACAGCCGTAGATAAACAGGATCGATAATCCAACTCGTTCGTAAACTGTCGGCACTAAGTTCAGTGATCCACGTGATCCATCGGGTAATACGAGTAATCTGGATTTGTTATCTATAGTTGGTTTCCGAAAATGCCTTATGCTGGAACGGAAAAGCCAACATCAAGCCTTTCGGATATGGCCGAATCCATAATTAAAGTGTATACCCCATTAGGGTTTATTATTAAACAAAATTTCAGTTCCACTAGTGGTAGTTTGCATGTATTTAAAACGATTGAACTGTCACGGTATTTAAAATATGATTTAAAAATTATTGTGAATGCGTTAATCCGAAGGAACGCGTATTTTATATACCCCGAAAACATTCTTTTGTGTATGCTAACAGATACTCGTGAATGGGTTCGGGAACTATCGCTACGAAGAATCTTAAAAGCTAGAGAAACCAGTCCAGAAACCGTTAAAGTAAGACATTTTGTTCAGACCACATAACCAAGAGGTACTCTTTTAATACTCCATTTGAGGTTTTAATACAGCAAAGAGCGGAGATCACCATAAGGGAGCCCAATGCCCAACGACAGAAACAAACCTGGTATACAGACGGGTCTAAGACTGCGGAAGGCACTGGGGCAGGAGTATTCTACAAAAACCCTGATACTAACCATAGCTATGCTATAGGAATACATTCCTCGGTATTTCAGACCGAGGTATTCGCAATTTTGCAATGTGCAAAAACGAACAATGAAAGAGCTGTCGAAAATCAGCATATTCAAATAATGTCAGACAGCCAAGCGGCACTTAAGGTCATATCGAGTCAGAAAGTTACGTCGAGGCTGGTATGGGAATGCATCGAAGAACTAAGAACACTGGCAGACCAAAATAGAGTAAAACTATTTTAGGTGCCAGGTCACCAAGGGATCGAAAGCAACGAAAAGGCTGACGAACTTGCAAAAAGAGAGTCAGAAGAAACACCGAAACCAGACACAAACCCAGGAGTACCAAAAAGTACAGTCCAAGGTTTCATAAACGACTGGATTCGGGAACAACATATCAACTATTGGGGAAACACCCCAAAACAGGCACATGGAAGAGCCTTCATAGGCAGACCATGTCCCAAAAGAACTGAAGAACTACTCTCAATGAATAGGAACCAGTTGAAAGTGATAACAGGGCACGACTGGGCACGCCCCAGTAAAGGCACACTTGAACAAAATTGGAATGTACAATGGGGAACTCATGTGCCGACTATGTCACAAGAAACCAGAAACGGCCAAACACATACTGTGCGAACGCGAAGCTCTACATCGCAAAAGACAGGCTCTTTTTGGACAACCCCAGGTTGATCCAACAACGTATAGAACCCGCTCACCCAAGGATCTGTACAAACTTGTACAAGGTACAAGGGTAACAGAGTGGGTGCTATGAACTAACATGGGGTAAAACACAATAATCCAATAGGCTTTAGTGTTATTCGGAGATACATAGTCAAACAAGCCCAGGAGAAAAAAAAAAGACATTTGTGGTACCAAAAATTAATTTCATTACTGTAGGAATAGGGACCTTATAAATGAACACGAAATTCCAAACTTTGATTTTCCGAAGTTCCTTTGCCACACTCAATCCGTGGAATGATGCGTTAAATTAGTTACAGAGTCATCTTCCTTAGTAATTGGTAGATAATCAAGAGACTGCTTTAATCGCTCAAGAATAAAATCAAAATAAATTATACCCATATTTGAAAGTAAACGACTGTTTAAAATTGGGGATGGGACGTTTCGCCGTCGCCGTTTCGCCATCGCCGTTTCGCCGTCGCCGTTTCGCCGTCGAGCCAGTTTGCCGTCGCCGTTTCGCCGTCGATTTTTTTTTGCATCAGTAATTGAAAATTATTGGCATGTTCAATTTGAGAAAGATCTTCTGTCAATATTATTTACTAATTAAAAAAATTCCATATCTGAGTTTTAATTTCTTATTTTTTTCGTGATAAATCTGATGTCTTAATAATAGTTTTCTTTTGGATAGGTATTTTGGATTTTTATAAATCTTTTTTTTGTACTTGATGTGTAAGCTTTTTATATTTGATTTGTAAGCTTTTATGTTTGATTTGTTAGCTTTTTATATTTGATTTCTTTAGGTATTTTTACTATTTTTTAGAAAAATGTGTTATTTAGTTTTATTCGTGTAATATTTATTTGTTCAAATAATTTTTACCTTATCTTTTAAAGATAAAAGCAATAAACATTGATTAAAAGGTGTAGTAGAGGGCTGAAGATGTTTAAAAATATTAAAAATAAAGAGTGTGAATACAAACACTAAAATGTAACTTTCTTTAGGTATTGTAAGTCAAAATAATAAACTTTAACTTTTCACCCCTAAAGGGGAAAGCAGAAGGCTAAAAATTTTGATGAGGAAATTTTAAAAAAATTACGAAAAGAAAGCACAGCTAAACGCAAGTCTTGATAGGTACCGTAAACTTAATTTTTATATTTTTTAAAAATATGCCTATTTCGGTCTAGCTTAATGTAGAAGTCGAATAAGTGTGAATAAATAAATAAATTAAAAGATTCTGTGTTGGTGAATCTCAATGATAGAGAGTTGTTTAATAGATGTCGCATATCATTGCATACCTTATTATTAGAAAAAGGTCTCAAATGGCAGAAAGATGAACCAATGCGAGTTAATATGAAACTTCCTGCTGTTGCTTTAAAACGGGCAGGATTAAAAAAAATATGCCAAAGAAAAGGAAGCAAGTTTTTATTACTTCGTTTATATTGGATTTTCCAAATTGGTACGACAAACCGTTCTTGGAAATGCAGCAATAAAAGATGTAAAAATTACAAGTTGATGGTAAAAAAAACTAAGAAATATATACATGTTACCTTTACAATATCTTTTTTACAGATATTGTATAGAACCGAATATGATGGTGCCAAAGATATATTTGCGTCAAAAAGCAATTAATGTAATTATTATGGTGATATGAATAACGAAAAATTTTTAAAATGGTTTAAAGAACAATTGCTCCGAAATCTTTGAGAACTATGTTTAATGGTAATGGATAATGCTTTTTATCTAGCACATTGGCACATAAAACACCAAATAGTAATTGGATAAAGTTCCAATTCAAGAGCGGTTGACGAATGAGAAAATAGCTCATTCATTTACCATATTTAAGGCTGAATTTCTGAAACATGTTGTGCGGCGAGTAACTGAAATCTATTTTTTATGATTTATTTTTTTAGTAATAGGCCACGAAAAATACATGTAGCTGATGAGTTAGCTTAAAATCTAGCTGATGAGATAGCTGATCAGTTTATACATAAGGTATTACGTCTTCCTCCTTACCATTGTCTTCAATCCAAAATAATTAATTTTGGGCATTTCAAAACTGTATTATAACAGACATATTGGTCGGGATGGCAAGACACAAGTCAGGGAGATTGTACAAACATGTGGTCTGAAGTACTCTGAACCATAACTCCTTAAATGTGGAGAAAAAGAATAAGACAAACTAAAAATTACATTTTTAAATGATTTGAAAGAGAGCATGTATGTGACAAGTTCGAAATTGCTAACATAAATGATTCTGTTAGATTTCAGAATAATCTTTTAGCCTTTAGCGTCAGCCTTTTCACTTTTAGAAAAAGTTTCAAAAAACTAACGGATACATTATCTGAGAGTTATTATATGACAATTAAATACGAGAAATAATTAATAGGGTAAGTATCTGTAATTTTTTAATGTTATATGGTTGTGTAGCTACTTGTTTATATATCAGTCAAGGAGTTTATCAGGAATTTCAGGGGTAAGATAAGTTATCATTCAGAGGTTAGTTATATGCAGTAGTAAAAAGATAATTGTCTTAGTTACCTGGGTGTTTAAAATTTCGTGACACTTTATCTGAAAGTAAAAAGACCAACTCTTGTTTTTTTAAGTTTTAAACCAGCATGTGCTGTTAATTTTATGATCTAAAAGTTGTAATTATTGTTATTTTTTTAAATGGATTATAAACAAACTGAACAATTACTTTTTATTGTTACATCAAGCCTAAATAATATTTTGTTTATTTCTCATCGTTAATTTAACATTTTGTTGACTACTTCTTCAAATTCATCATCATTATCATCAATGACGTGCATTGGAGTTTATATTGCATCTAGTATACATTTAAAATTTATTATTCCCAGTAACACAACAAAAAAAACACATGACCTTATATTTTTAAAACGTTCTGTATTCCTCGAATATCTTGACGAGTGGACAACACTGCAAGCAGGGGTCCCAGATGTACTGAGCCTAAATTAGTGAGCTTGAAAAAAATTGTGAGAAATCGTAAGATTGTACTTCGCGTGTGTAATTTAGAGACATAGTATTTTCAATTTTTATGTACTTTGTCCGCGCAAAGAATAAGGAATAGCCGTCTTTTAAATTTCAGTATGATAAAGACAAAAACTAATTAGCACTAGCACTATAAATATTATCGACAGTGTGTTACTACCGAAAACTATCGATTATTTTAAGTATTCATCGATAGTTTAAATTTACATGTTTTTAGTAGTTTTCTAATTCATTTTCACGGAATTCGATCAAAAAACTAAAATAAAAAATAAACCAAGAATGCACTCAGCAAATTCAGCACTAGTTCATAAATCTGTTTTAAAGATTGCCCTAACTAATTTTTTATCATACACACGCCACAAATATAACTCCTGGCTTCACCTGTTTTCTTATATCTCTGTGCACCTATTGGTTCTTGTTTTTGTTACATTTTTTCATTTCAAATAGTTTTTTACTGTAAGGTAAATGTATTACTTTACTATGCTACGTATTAACCTTTGAATCAACGTTGGTATAGTTTAGATCAGCCATACTCAACCTTCTTTTCCTTCGGACCACATTCGTATATGTGCTATATTACACGGGCCGCAATATTTTTGAATGATGACCTTTTTTAGGACATCTATCTAAAATTAGTTAGTGAGGGCTTCTAATAAATAAAACACAAAACATAAATATATCCCGTTGTGTTACTGCAAAAACAAGATAACTCACATTTTTAAAGTTTCTATAAAACACTATTCAAACGTTTAAAACTGAATAAAAAATCAGTAAAAGCTTCAAAACATTGTTAACAAAGTATAAACTAATAACACTTTATCAATAATTGGTAAAAAAAAGAGAGAGCTTATTTTAGCTCTACATACAAAACATAATTCAATGTATGTCACTATCTTCAGTCGAAGTTTCAGTAACATTATTGGATACAGGTAGATTGTGATAATAATGGTGAAATTCATCAGGAGTATCTGATTTTGCAAAATTTTAGTAAATATTTCTTGCAATTTTTCGTGAGTATTTTCAAAAAGTATTTTCAAAACTTTATTGCATCCTAGCATGCATCCCTCTGAATAAATAGTGTTCGAGTTTGGCATATAAAGCCGAATTCCCCACCCTCACCCATTGATAAATTAAATCTATTTTTTTGGTGGAATGCATTCAGGATTGCTGAATCTTTCGATACGTTGTCTATTAGAAAGTATGGTTAAAATTCATAATCGCCTGTTACCACTAATACTTTTATTTACGAATAATTTTTACATAAAAATTCGCTTGACCAATCACCCATTACATCTTGACCAATCACTCGTTCACCACGGAGATTCGAACATCACGTGTTATTATCTAGTGGTTGTTTATGGTTAGCTGTATCGCGGAAAGAAAGGGTGACGTAATCATCTCGTGGATTTCGGAACAATCGAGAAAGGCCAGAGACGGCTCTAGTCATAACAAAACAAATGGCGTGGGCCCAATGTTATAATATTTCAACAAACACATTTAACAAAAATAAGTAGCGGCAAACCACTCCCGAAATACTGGTACGTTTTTACTGGAAATCACTACATATTTTCTCGAAAATTCCAAAATCATCATCTTAAATCATGGTCGAAATCAATTCGTCGCTCACAACCCGAAATGGCGAGAAAAACGACCATCGTATAAAATTAAGGTGGATTTTCAGTAAAACCACCTAAATTGCATAAATTTTTTTTAATTGATTTCTGAAATACAGGTACGTTTTGACCTTATTGGTTTACCCTCGGTTCTGGCCTTTATCTTGTTTTGGCAGGAACACTTTTAAGAATCGGACTAAATATATTTAGCAAAAATAAGTTATATGTCTATTATCTGGTTTTGGTAGACACATTTATCAATTGAACACAATGTTATGATTATGTTTTGGTATAGATGCTACTCAATCTTATTTGTCCATATTGTTAATGTATTAAAATGGAGTCAGTTTTTATTGGCTATCTATATAGACTTCTTTCACACTTGTAGAAAGAGTACCTTCTTAACTCGAAAATTCCAAAAGTAGAGCTATCTTATTTTTGCAGTAACCCCACAAAACTCCAAACGTTTATTTAAAACTTAGCATGCTGCGATCAATAATAGTGTTGCGGGCTACAAAAAAAGCTTGAAGGGCCGCAGGTTGAGTATGGCTGGTTTAGATGGTACTATTGATAGTAACTCTTGAGACGAGACTATTGGAAAATATCAATATGGCCGAATATGGAAAGTAACCGACCACTTGCTGGGTACTGTCAAGTGTTAGTTGTCCGTCATGTTTCGGCCAACGCATTAGCAGGACACATCGTGAGATCTGGGATCCCTGACTGCAAGGCTGTGATTTTATAAGTGATCGATTAAGTGCTTTGGATTTTATATTGAATGGGATTTATTTATCAAAGTACTACAGCCTGGTTTACTTGATATTTTGATATCATTTACTTGCTATCCTCCTTAATACCTTAGTCATCCGCCAGTTGTATCGGGACCCACAGTGAACAAAGTTTTCGAAATTTAAAAATGATCCTAGAGAATTTCACGGCTTGAGGCGTCATTCCCAAACGCCATTTGAAGTTTTTCTTGTCATAACTCCGACGTCATATTAGGTTTTAAATTAAAAAAAAATATATAGCATAGCTTATGGTTCTATTGTGGACAAATCATTGGCCTGATAATTACCAAAATAACTAAATATTGTAATAAAAAACTATAATTTATAGAAGCAAAAAATCATTGCCATGCAGTTTTTGTAATTTTAAAATCATATAACTGTTTTAGGTATACATACTATACATATTGAAATATATATCGAGAATCCCCGAAAGTTCTGAATAAATGTTGTTTACAAAAAAGTGTAAACTTCTTAAATTAAATGAGTGGTTCAGTACCATAGTTGCGTAACTAACATTTTATTAAAAAGTGAGCAAATGAAGGTCAAAGCACGTTATCTATGTCGTAACTACCTAATCTTTGGGCATATATTATTATCAAAAACGCATAATTTTATAGAATTGGATTGAAATTATTAAAAGTGCGTAAATGGAGACTTAAGCACTTTACTCCAATCTACTAGACGAAACTGCCTAATCTTTGGCTATAGATGGTAGCGCCAAAAGCGAATAATTTTAAGGAATATGCAACTTTGACATTAAAAGAAATAATTTTAAAATAATAATACTATACAAAAAAGAGTTGTTTTGATATTTCGTGGCACTGAGCCACTCAAATAATTTTTCCGTTTTCCCCTGCTCTATTTCAAAAGTACAACTACTTGTTAAATTAAAGAACTACAGAAACTACCAACCTCAAAGTAGATTTACAATCCAATATAACTTTTTGCATTGGTTCATCGTAGTATCCTGTTAGACAGTTGATTATCACGTTGAATATTAAAATTGTATCAAATATTAATCTAAATATGTTAAATACAAGTGGAAATGAATAATATTTTTTTCTAAAATCGAAGAATAGGTACAAAAATGGTGTGACTGTAAATTGAATCAATATCACGAAGGTCATAATTACAGCCCAGATTATCCTGAAATAAGAAAATAATATTATTAAACAAATCAAGATTTACAAGTACAGGCTTTTTGGAATACATGTACATAAAATGGGTAGTTGTATATAATGTACAAAATCGAACGTCAATTATTTATAACAGACTTACGAAAATGATGAAAATAAAACAAACTGTCAAATATCTTATCACAAAAAAAAATAATAACTGAAGAAAAGTATCCAACTGCTCTAATGTGGTCATCAATCTCACAAAACAATATTTATTCAAGAGATTGCCAACCGGTTTCGGCATTAGAATCCAACATCAGGTCTATAAAGGAACAAAATTTTGGTTTAACAAAGTTTGCAAAAATTATAAAGTGTTCCATGCCTCAAAAGTAATTAATTAGCCTTGCAAATACTAAGATGTCTCACAATTAATTATAATTTTGTTTCTTTGAACCTTATTGACCATTATCTTAGATTGTAATGTCAATTTCAACAACAAAAATTAAGTTAATTCAAATTAATTATATATTTTATTATATAAGTAATATATTTTATTATATAAATAATATAATAGTTAATTAAAAATATAGGTAGCCAATTGTTATTAAATTTAATATTTTAACATGAAGCATTTATTAAATTGTTTATAGATACTGTATACTAGGTATATATCTGAATAAAATATAGCCTATTTAAATGCATACATTGAAATTTGAACTTTCAAATTCAATAGTTTGTTTTATATACAATTAGACGGAAATATATACCGGGTGTTCAAATTAAAGTGTTATAGTTAAATACCGCCAAAAATATGCAGTTTATAAGAAAAAGTTTCGGACAAAAGTTTTATAGTTTTTTGGTGGAAACATTTTGGCTAAATTCATTTTTTATAGCTGGCCACAACATGGCCATATCGAGGTAAACTTTTTTTCAAATTGGAACCACACTTTTTACATATTCCTAAAGTTCATAAAAAAATAAGTAACTTTTAAAGCAAACATTTTTTTATTCGACTTTTACTTATTGAGTTACACCTACTTGAACATTTGGCTGCGCGAAAAAAAGTTGGCCATATTAGTTATAAAAACGATTTTAGCCAAAATGTTTTCCCCAAAAAACTGTAAAACTTTCGTCTGAAACGTTTTTTTATACAAGGCGGTATTTAATAATAATAATAATAATAATAATACTCTCCCTAATTCACCCCCTTACGAGTGAATTTCAACCCCTGAAGTCGACTGAACGACTTGTGTAGGGGAAGGGACGGACGGTTATTATTATTATTTGCCGTGGCGCTCCGGGGCGACTTAAAGATGATTGATGGTGCCATTTGACTTACAGGTAAGGAAAACCCGGAAAACCTCACCCACCATCATTTAACTGTAACACTTTAATTTAAACACCCGTTATATTACGGATTTTAAGAGTTATATGGAATAATGATCTGTAAATTGTAGACTTGGTGATATTTGCTTATATTTTTTTTTAGTGCATTTTCTGTTATCTTTATAGATAGAATATATATTTAAAATTTCATATCCAATGCATAAAACTATAGATTTTTTAAAACGACGCCTGAAAATCTACATAAATTGTTTTTCATTAATTTAATATTCTAGTCCAATCAAATAGGCCTTTCAATCAAAATTTTGGAGGAAATACAGGGATTTTTGATATAAGTCACTTTAGAGTATTAGAAAACGATATGTAAAAAAAATTTTTTTTCAGGCACCGGCAAATGTCAAAAGCCAAGAAAATTAAGTGTTTTTTTTAAGGTTATTTAAAAACAAACTGCTATTAAAAAAAGTTCTTAATAAAAATTGTAAAGCATAAAGTTTTACATAAAAATTACATTTGACATTTTTTGCTATTATTAAAACTGACAGAGTTAGGGTGGTTAGAAATTAAGAGGAGATATATGACTATGAAAAATCATACCGAGCTGAAAATTCAATGATTTTGTAGTTTCTTTTTATTATTTACTCAAAAAATTATAAATTTCTATTAAGAAAAATTAATTTTGTTTTGTTTTTACTTTCCTATCTATCTGTATACAGATATATTACTTTCCTATCTGTATACAGATATAAGGAGAGTATAGGAATCATGATTTTTTTCGACCTCGAGTTTTCGACGAATTTTTACGTTTTGAGGTCCCCTGAATCCGTTTTTTTTATTTATTTTTATTCATTTTTATTCATTTTTATTCATTTTTATTCATTTTTATTCATTTTTATTTATTTTTATTCATTTTTATTCATTTTTATTCATTTTTATTCATTTTTATTCATTTTTATTCATTTTTATTCATTTTTATTCATTTTTATTCATTTTTATTCATTTTTATTCATTTTTATTAATTTTTATTCATTTTTATTAATTTTTATTCATTTTTATTCATTTTTATTCATTTTTATTCATTTTTATTCATTTTTATTCATTTTTATTCATTTTTATTCATTTTTATTCATTTTTATTCATTTTTATTCATTTTTATTCATTTTTATTCATTTTTATTCATTTTTATTCATTTTTATTCATTTTTATTCATTTTTTATTCATTTTATTTTATTCATTTTTATTCATTTTTATTCATTTTTATTCATTTTTATTCATTTTTATTCATTTTTATTCATTTTTATTCATTTTTATTCATTTTTATTCATTTTTATTCATTTTTATTCATTTTTATTCATTTTTATTCATTTTTATTCATTTTTATTCATTTTTATTCATTTTTATTCATTTTTATTCATTTTTATTCATTTTTATTCATTTTTATTCATTTTTATTCATTTTTATTCATTTTTATTCATTTTTATTCATTTTTATTCATTTTTATTCATTTTTTATTCATTTTTATTCATTTTTATTCATTTTTATTCATTTTTATTCATTTTTATTCATTTTTATTCATTTTTATTCATTTTTATTCATTTTTATTCATTTTTTATTCATTTTTATTCATTTTTTATTCATTTTTATTCATTTTTATTCATTTTTATTCATTTTTATTCATTTTTATTATTAATTTTTATTCATTTTTATTAATTTTTATTCATTTTTATTCATTTTTATTAATTTTTATTCATTTTTATTCATTTTTATTCAGTTTTATTCATTTTTATTCATTTTTATTCATTTTTATTCATTTTTATTCATTTTTATTCATTTTTATTCATTTTTATTCATTTTTTATTCATTTTTATTCATTTTTATTCATTTTTTATTCATTTTTATTCATTTTTATTCATTTTTATTCATTTTTATTCATTTTTATTCATTTTTATTCATTTTTATTCATTTTTATTCATTTTTTATTCATTTTTATTCATTTTTATTCATTTTTATTCATTTTTATTCATTTTTATTTATTTTTATTCATTTTTATTCATTTTTATTCATTTTTATTCATTTTTATTCATTTTTATTCATTTTTATTCATTTTTATTCATTTTTATTCATTTTTATTCATTTTTATTCATTTTTATTCATTTTTATTCATTTTTTATTCATTTTTATTCATTTTTATTCATTTTTATTCATTTTTATTCATTTTTATTCATTTTTATTCATTTTTATTCATTTTTATTAATTTTTATTCATTTTTATTCATTTTTGTTTATTTTTATTCATTTTTATTCATTTTTATTCATTTTTATTCATTTTTATTCATTTTTATTCATTTTTATTCATTTTTATTCATTTTTATTCATTTTTATTCATTTTTATTCATTTTTATTCATTTTTATTCATTTTTATTCATTTTTATTCATTTTTATTCATTTTTATTCATTTTTTTTTTATTGATTTTTATTCATTTTTATTCATTTTTATTCATTCTTATTCATTTTTATTCATTTTTATTCATTTTTATTCATTTTTATTCATTTTTATTCATTTTTATTCATTTTTATTCATTTTTATTCATTTTTATTCATTTTTATTCATTTTTATTCATTTTTATTCATTTTTATTCATTTTTATTCATTTTTATTAATTTTTATTCATTTTTATTCATTTTTAATCATTTTTATTCATTTTTATTCATTTTTATTCATTTTTATTCATTTTTATTCATTTTTATTCATTTTTATTCATTTTTATTCATTTTTATTCATTTTTATTCATTTTTATTCATTTTTATTCATTTTTATTCAATTTTTATTCATTTTTATTCATTTTTATTCATTTTTTATTCATTTTTATTCATTTTTATTCATTTTTTATTCATTTTTATTCATTTTTATTCATTTTTATTCATTTTTATTCATTTTTATTCATTTTTATTCATTTTTATTCATTTTTATTCATTTTTATTCATTTTTATTCATTTTTATTCATTTTTATTCATTTTTATTCATTTTTATTCATTTTTATTCATTTTTATTCATTTTTATTCATTTTTATTCATTTTTATTTATTTTTATTCATTTTTATTCATTTTTATTCATTTTTATTCATTTTTATTCATTTTTATTCATTTTTATTTATTTTTATTAATTTTTTATTCATTTTTATTCATTTTTATTCATTTTTATTCATTTTTATTCATTTTTATTCATTTTTATTTATTTTTATTTATTTTTATTCATTTTTATTCATTTTTATTTATTTTTATTCATTTTTATTCATTTTTATTCATTTTTATTTATTTTTATTCATTTTTATTCATTTTTATTCATTTTTATTCATTTTTATTCATTTTTATTAATTTTTATTCATTTTTATTCATTTTTGTTTATTTTTATTCATTTTTATTCATTTTTATTCATTTTTATTCATTTTTATTCATTTTTATTCATTTTTATTCATTTTTATTCATTCTTATTCATTTTTATTCATTTTTATTCATTTTTATTCATTTTTATTCATTTTTATTCATTTTTATTTATTTTTATTCATTTTTATTCATTTTTATTCATTTTTATTCATTTTTATTCATTTTTATTCATTTTTATTCATTTTTATTCATTTTTATTCATTTTTATTCATTTTTATTCATTTTTATTCATTTTTATTCATTTT